TTTTGAATGGTAATTCCTTTATTCCTTAATCTCTGATGAGGTTTACWGTAAAACATTTCTGAGAGAGGCCAAAGATCTTTCTGCTACACAGTTCTTCTGCCATATTGAAAAATTACTTGTACAACGGCTTGGGAAATCTTTAATAACAGCCAAGAATTGCCTGTTTTTCTCCACTGACTGAAAAACCAAAAAACAAACCTACARMTAACTCAGCTGCAGTTTTTTATTCYGTATCTACATATCTAAATGTAGAACAGCCAGCACACATTTCACATTTACATAGGAACCTTCGGAAAAGTCTGATATATTGCAGGCAAGCTGTAATTGCTAAGCACACAAAGAGCTTTGAAAAATAAGCATTTAAAGTGTACATTTCTCTGCAGGATCTGCCAGTTCTGTATTACATTGTTTTAGTTCCACTGCCAGGAATGATAAATGACATTTCTTTCAAAATTCAGTATCTGCAAAAGCAACGACCTGATGTAGATATCATTGTGTGGAAATGCCACAACTCTGCAGTATTTGTAGTGGCTTAAAGCCCTTTAGCAACCACAATATATTTCTGATGACCTGCCAGTTGTCACGGTTCTTGCGTTACCAATTAGCTGGTTTTTCTCATGGACCGATTTTATTAAAAAAGGAAAATTTTCTGTGGACAAACTATTTTGGAGGATGCCTAAAATATTAATCTTAGCTATTTATTGACAATAATACAATCCTATTTGCATTAATACACAGTAATTTTAGTTTTATTCTTAATAACCAATTAATTTTCTTAAGAATAAACTTTTGAAAAGTAAGATTTCAAAGAGTATCTGCCAAGAAATTTGACAAAAATTTTCAACCACTCTTTATGGATTTACCAGTTTCGATGACATGAATGTGCCACCCATTTAGTGTCACATGGGACCAAAAAGCCTCCTTTGTGTGTTTTCAGAAATTCTTAAATGCAGAAATTTAAACTTTTAAATGCAGGCTGTTTCCTGTACAACACAACTACTGAGGAAAGAATAATGACAGGAAGAAGAGGCTGGAAAATCTTCTTAAAAKCCTTGTTCCTTTTTGTCATCAGGTCAGGATTTGCCTCTAAATGGAACAGTCAGTAAGACCTGCTCAGAAAACTCTTTAATTCCAACCTCCTTGCCTCTGGCATATAATTACATCAAAGTAATTCCAAAGTTACAACCAAATGTCAGTAGACATGATGAAACAATGTTAACTCCAAACATTATTTTGTTTTCCCTCTGTAGAAAGAAACATTCTTCCTCATCTGAAGAACTTTTGGAATAATAGGAACAACAGAAATATTCACTTTAAAAAAAAGTCAATTAATTACCCAAATTTTATAGTAAACAATAAATATAATCTAGATAATMATAAACTTAGATACAGTATACATAGTTTTTGCATATTTATGTTAATTTATATTTGGCTAAAAGTCTAATGATGTCATTTTACTTTTTAAATAGGGATGCCTTCTGCCTTGCTATGGATGAAATACCATTGATACACTCCCTCTGAARATCCAGGAGACATTTTTAGCCTTGTGTCAAGTCCTTCATAAATTTTATCCATTAGTTATAAAAACATTMTTGCATAACATAATTAATTAGTCCCTGCATTCTTCCTGTTTCTTTGATTTTCCAGCTGTAAACCAGCTTCACAATCTAAAAACTAAAACATTCAAATTCTAAATACTTAATCAAGAATGTGTTAGAGGTGTAAAATTTTGAAAAGCAATGTAACAGCAACAACAGTCAAATAAAAAAAAAACCACCTTCTCCTAATCCTTGAAACACAAATGCAGGGCTTCTCAGATTGTGCTACTACAACCAAAATTGTTCAGCATTTTCCAGGTTGGAAAGTAGAGCAGTGAGTTTTCTCTTTTAGAAGTATATTTAAAAAAAAAAATATATATTTTTGCAAAAACTCATATTGAACATTTAATATATATATATATTAATATACATATTCTCCACTGAAAGATCCTTGTTTTCCTAGAATTTACAACCTCTAATAGAAGAAATAACATTGTTCTCTAGTGTCTGAAATCCCCCTGTGCTGATGTTCCAGAAACACCCATGGACYGCTCACAGTAAATCTTCAGTGAGGCACAGAATCATCCTCAAGGGAGCCACATGAAAATGAAGCTTGATTTCTCTCCGTGAGAGTGCACAACGTGTCACCACAAATCCTGCTATGCAATGCTGCTCTTCAATAATTTATTGGAGTCTCTGGGCTCYGGGTGAGCTGACAAATTTAATATGGAAGTGCTGCTCAAGTGCTGAATAAACATGAGCTAAAGTATTTTTCTAAACAAACAAAACTGATGCAAAAGAGTGGCCCGGGGCAGATCGGAATTTTTTTTCAGAAATTTATTGACAGCAACACTATTTTTGGTACTAGTTTATTTAGTAAATTGCATAAAATATTACTTAATACATGSCTACATTTAACAAATCCCCACTAGGTTTCTTTTGTTCTACAGCTTCTAATTTAACCTTCAGAGATGGATGAAGCACTGGACCAATGGATCATCAAGTGTCAAACTGTTCAAATTCATGGCAAGTAAAATGTAAAAGCACAGGTTAAAAAAAATTACCAACTTATCTATATTTTTACACCTTGTGTCATCTCACTGCGTATCTCTCTTTCCAGGCTTTTAGATTATGAGAAAAATCAATGTTTGGTATTTTTGATAACTCTCTGGGTCTTCTTTCCAGTCAGGGATCATTCACTCCCATAATCTACTTTTTATCTTTTAGCCAATCACTGAAATAAATATATCTTACTGGGTTAGATTTTTGTTGTTGTTGTTGTTGTTTTCGTTTGATTTTTTAAAATTCATTTTTTGTTTTGTTTTGGTTTGGTTTGGTTTGGTTTGGATTTTGGCTTTAAAATAGTTTTATTTGTTATTTTTGTTATTGCTGTTTAGTTTCTTTAAAAAATCCTTGATAAAGCTTTGATGAGGGAGTTTTTGAAATCCAAGCAACCAAATCACTCCTTTCTATGTATTCATCTCATGTTTGAAATAGGATAACCCTTTATCAGAGCCACACTGGCTCTTCCCAAGGATGTAATACTCAGCTACCTGCTAAAACTGTTATTTTTTGTAATTTCTGTTACTTCATTAAAGCTTACAGATCTTCCTTTCAGATCTCTGGTAGAACTCCTTTTTAAAAATTGGATTTTTGGCAGTTCCCAGTCSCCTGCAGCCAAGGGGCTTTGAGCAAACTACAAAACATCAGCTCATTCCCCTGCTCCTCCAAAAAGATGGGATAAATACCACTTATTCCTGTTTAAGAGCTCTTTCACCTCCACCTTAACACAAAACAGACACAAAGAATTTTTGGGGACAGGAACCTCTTCACTGCCTTCTGTGATAAACACAAATGTAAAGAATTCCTCTACATTTTCCCTTTCTTTTTACTACGGTCTTGTATTTCCTAAGTTTGAATTTAGTACTGGGATCAGACTCTCTTCTCTGGCATCCACTTTTGGTACGTCTGAAGAAAGATTCCTCATTTTTGTTATTTGTAGAAACACAATTACACAACACTGCAGTGCCTCACTGCTGAGGTAGAGCAATTTAATGAAAAATTATTAAATTTTTAATTATCTCTTGGCTATAAGATAAGGTTCCAAAATATTCACAGCAAAAAATCCTCCACAGAAAAACGTTTGGCATAATTTTRTTTTTTTCCTGAATACTCACATGCACTTCCCATCTGCTCAATGAATGTGATCTGCACAGATCTGCAGTCCCATCTTAGAGACAACTCCAGGGAAAAGTTACTTAAAAAGACTCCCAAGAATATCCTGTCCTTTCTTTGGATAAATATGAACCAATGTGTGGATTTTTAGGCCTAAATAGGTTCTGAAGTGACAGGGAATGTAAGAATTTCATTTGGAAGCAAAGGCAAAAGATGGAGGAAGCAGTATTTTTTTTTTCTCTTCTGTTTTTATGCATCACACTTGAACCACAGAAATTATGTGGATGGATCCTTTGGAGAAATGAGATCTTGGAGGTTAGAACAGTACTTCCAAGGAGTTTTAATGAAATCAGTACTTTCATACTGAAATGAAAATGCTCATGCAGAAAATACAACWAGCATTTTAATATAACAACACTTCAAATCAATTCTGTTACTTTGAAAATTTCCAGAACTTTTCCATTCATGAGTTGAAGGCAGAATTAGGATTCATCCTATGCAGAACACAGTGGAGCAGACACGACRTTTCAGGGGATGGAAACACCACAGACTCTGAGTGATCACCTACCCTAGGAAAACAGCAACGTTGGACCATCAGTTTGCTTCTCCAGCTCTGAGTGCTAAAAGTTGTCTCAGCTGGTAGAAATACTCTTCTGAAGCACAATTCTGTGCATACAGAGAGGATCAGAAACACGATATTGGTAAAAAATTAGCAATAATCTCTTTCTGGATTATACTAATAGGGGGATGATTTTTAARGGCTGTTAGAATGAGAACAGTAGTGAACTGCTTCTGGGTTTTTTCCATAGTCTTAAGCTGTGCCRGAAGAGGTTTAGGTTGGAATTTCTTCACAGAAAGAGTGATCAGACACTGGAATGGGCTGCCCCAGGGAGATGGTGGAGTCACCATCCCTGCGGGTGTTTAAGGGACGAGCGCACGTGGCACTCGGTGCCATGGTCTGTTCGTTGGTGGGTTGGACTCAGCGATCTCAGATCTGTTTTCCAACCCACAAATTTCCGTGATCCAGCGATTTCGACATTGTCGTGATTCCGTACTGGCCCCGCCCCCTGGGCTCTGGACACGCCCCCTAAGCAATGGCCCCGCCCCCTCCTCGCCCCCCTCAGCAACGCCTCGCTTCTCTCTCCCCGCCCCCGTCGCTAGGGGGCGTTCCCTGCCGGTCACGCGCCAGGGCGCGGAGCCGAGCGGCGCTCGCGCATCGTTCCGCCGCGTCCCGGCGCTGCGCTCGGCGCTCGGCTGGTCGGGCCTGCGGGAGCGGCGCTCGGGCGATGCTCGGGGCCGCCGCCGCCTGAGGGCCGGTCCGGTCCGGTCCGCTCGGGTCCCGGCGGAGCGCTGGCGGGGCGGCCGCCATGGGGCTGGGATCCAGCTCCGAGGGCCCCGGCGGCGGCGCCGAGGGCTTCCACGTGCACGGGGTGAGGCGGCCGCCGCGGAGACAGGGAGGGAGATAGGGAGGGCCGCGCGGGGCGGCGGGTGCTGAGGCGGGTCCGGCGCGTCCCGCTCTCGCATCCCGCCCGCGGTGGCTGGGCCGCCCTGGCTCCCACCTGTTGGCTCCTTCCCGGAGCTGCCACGCCGGCAGGGGCGGGGCGGCCGCGGCGCTCCTGGTACCAGTGAATGCCCGTGCCGGCGGCTGCAGCGGGCTCGGGGCCGCGACCTGGCGGGACTTGGGGGCTGCTCAGCCCGGGGGAGCCTGTGGGGCTGCTCTCGGGGAACGTGATGTAGTTTAAGAGTAGAACAGCCCTCCTTCCCTCCCTGCTTCCCTCTCCGTTCTCTCTATTCCCCTTCTTCCCGCCCTGCTCCCCTCTCTGTTTCCCTACTCTCTCTGTGGATCTTCACAGCATCTTCTTAAGGGATTAATTCCCGCTCCAGCGGTGTTTTCCTTGGTGGCTGCCTGTCCCAGGCGCTGGATGTAGTTGCACGTTCGTTGTAACTCCTCTATTGGGCAGATTGTCTGCACTTACAGTGGTGTAAATGCACAGCTGGAAGTTTAAGGATGGACAGAGGTGTTGCTTATAACAGTTGTTGCATCAGTTAGCCTTTTTTTTTAGTGAGTATTTTCCCTCCTGTAATTAGAATTGGGAGTGTTGCTGCCACGTGGTGCTTTTCATCTGYATTTTGTTTTCCTCAGCATCACTATAAAGCTGCCTGTTTGGTCTTGATGCATTCAGGGTTGTGATGAAAGTGCATATTTCCTACTCCAATTATGGTTACAGTACTCAGTCTTGACTGTGTAATAGTAAAGCATGATTTTTATTCTTATTTTTGCTTTAAAAGCTTTTGCTGAAGTAACTGTGTTATAAGGTAGAATTTATAACTTTCACAGACAGTTCTGCAGCAAAAGCCTCTATTTAAAAAAAGTAAAAATATATATCTAGCATTTTGATAACACCAGACCAAATACAAGATGTAGCAGTTTTAACTTTCCTAGCAATGCAATTCCCAGTTTAGATGCTGTCTGGGTTGTAATTTTGTGCTTATATTGTGAGGTGGCCTGCAGGAGTCAAACACATCCGAGATTAAGGGCTGCTGAGTTAAAAGTGAAGTTTCAAATAGCAAACTGTCAGTAGGTTTGCTTAGTGTACCTTGAAGTGGGTGGACTCCTATGTAATACACCAAGTTCTGTGTAACTTTTGATGGGGTTTTTCCTGGTATGAATGCATTTTAAGGAATATTATCGATATTTGTAACATCGGTTCTAAGAAAACTTGGTTATAATGAAATAGAGATGTCTTAACTCTTACTTAGGAATCTTYTGTAAGTGGTGGCAGTTTTCCTGACCAGAACATGTGGACAGATGTGTGTTTGTAGTGTACTTGTATAAATATTCCTGTTCCAATGGGCTGGAAATTGRGGGAACCCAAATGTCAGTTGTGTTTGTGGAAAAATGCTCTGATGCAAGTGGGGACTCTGATTGTGCTCAGGTCATTACAAGCATGGAAGAAAATCCTGCAGCATCACTTTGAAAATGAAGCCTTTCTCCAAAGTATTCAGTATTTAATAATTCCAGGCTGTGCAYTCTGAATCACAATATTTGTGTCTTATTTGGGGTTAAAAACCTGTTTTTTACAGCTTGATTTGGACATCTGTTCATAGTTTTATAAAAGTAAGATCCTAACTGAGGCGTGCTTCTTGAGGGCAGTCATCTGATGCCTTATCTCTGGGTCAATTCAAAAGCAAATATTGAATCAAGTGTAAAGATTAACACTTTCACTTATGTAACTGGAGATCAATATAGAATAATAAAATGYATGTTCTGCAGGTTCAAGAAAACTCCCCAGCCCAACAAGGAGGACTGGAACCTTTCTTTGATTTCATCATTGCCATAGGACACACGAGGCTTGTAAGTGTCAAATGATTTCAGTGGTTTTTTTCCCACCTTCATGAAATGTCATTGTAGTGATGATGAAAGGCAAAACCYGAAACTATCACAAGTACAGGAACTTTTCATATTGGTTATTAAAAGTAAAATAAAACTTGCAGGTGTTCAAAGTCTCTTTGGCTAGATTCAAGTTTGAGGAATGGGTTTTGTTTATGCCTTTACTCACCTTAACTTCTTACCAGATTAACACAATATTTATATTATTACTCATTCGTACGTATTTTCTACCACAAGGTGAATACTCAGCTGGTGAGTCAACAGTTAGAGCTCAACATTAGTTTAAACAAACTTGTTTGAACATTTGATAAAGCATGAAAAAGAATCATAGCCTGTCTACTTATACTTTTGAGATCAAGAACACAATTYCTGTGTGTTGAGTGATGAGAGAAAAGTTGAGTTTTAGGTTGATGGGGTTTTTTTTGGGTTTTGGTTGGGTTTTTGTTTATTTAAAAGGCTCAGAGCTTTGCCTGTATGCTCCACCCTAACCACATACAAGCTGAATTAATTAAGTTTGTMTTAGGTTTATGAGTAGAAATGTCTTTTTGGGAGTGATCATTATAGGGGTAGATTTTGGGGGAAGATCATTTAATCTTCTAACATGAAAAATGCTGATGTTCTTTCACAGTCAGTTTGCAGTGACTTTGAAGGCCTTTGAAGAGGGATGGGGCTCAGACACATGAAGTGAAATGTTTCTGTATTTTGACTACACAGCTGGCAATTCATACTGCTGGTATTATTTAATAGCAGTTGTGAAGGACAGGAATGCCAGTGATGAAATGGAGTAATAGGGGGTATTTATGGAGGACGTGTGTTGACAGTACAGACTGCTCTCTAGTAAAAGAAAATTGAACTGCTGGAATTGTTTGTCCCAAAAATCCTAAACTCTGATGATTTTGGTTCTTTGTATTCAAATTCAGCCACAGATGTGGCATATGTTACAGGTGCAATTGGAAATAATGCTAATCCTGTATCTTTGCTCTGCAGAACAAGGAAAACAATATGTTGAAAGACCTGCTGAAGGCAAATGCTGAGAAGGCAGTGAAGCTGGAGGTGTATAACATCAAAACAATGAAAATACGAGAGGTAGAGGTGATCCCCAGTAACATGTGGGGAGGACAAGGCCTCCTTGGAGCCAGCGTGAGGTTCTGCAGCTTCCAGGGAGCAAATGAACACGTCTGGCATGTCCTGGTGAGGAGGAATTCTTGGGTGGCTCCTTATTGTTCATGTAACCTCATTTTACAGTGTGATGTTTAGCAGTAACTGTTATGTAAAGCACAGTGCTGCAATGACACAGAGGAAGGGAACACAGTCTTGAAGGTTTTGTCTCAGCTGTTTGAGTAGGGACAAGGAGTGGGTGGTGTCAGTGTTCTCAGTGACAGTGACAAAAATAACTCCATCCTAACTGGACCAAACAGTGTAGGTGGGAAAAGKTTTTTGGTTTATGTTGAAGAATGAGTGACAAAAGCAGAATGATTCTGGCCTGACTGGTGTGTCTGTATTGGYGAAACTTCATTAAATTAATGTTAGAAAAAGCACCACAAATTTGTTTTAAAATTAAGAAGAAGAGCTGAAAGAATAGAACTGAATAGGAAAGAATATTTATGTTTCTGGTTGTTWAAGTAAATGCAATTTCTCAACATCTTCAGAGTATCTTTTTTTAAATTGGTAGCATCTTAATCTTTCTTACKAAACATACTTTACAGATGCAGACTATTCAAGAACTTCTTGTTTTATCYCATTAACAAAATGTTGTCTCCTTCTTTGTTCTGGGAGTTCAGTTTTCTTTTGGATCTTTGTATTTTTTCCTGCTGTGGGTGCAGATGACTGGTGTCATTCTTTCACAGGACGTTGAGCCATCGTCTCCTGCAGCTCTGGCTGGTCTCCAGCCATACACTGACTACGTTGTTGGATCTGATCAGATTCTCCAGGAGGTAGGGTACATGTTCCTTCCAGTAGGGATGGATTGTCTTCGTGCCTGCCAAGTGTATGTAGTAGGATCTGGGTTTTTATAAATCTAATCAAAGATATGGGGATGGTGTTGGGGGACTTCAAAAGGTTGATGTTTATGACAGAATCTTTATTGTTAAGATAAACATTATTTTTCTTTTTAGTGTGACAATATAAAGAAGTTGCCACTAAAGATCAAACTACACTGGTGATTTTTCTGTCTGATTTACTCTCACATTAAATAAATAACTAGGTAAAATGCTGACTTGCACATTTGGGTTTATTAATTACTTCTTTTTTTTCTTAGTCAGAGGATTTCTTTTCCCTGATTGAATCCCATGAGGGGAAGCCACTGAAGCTGATGGTTTATAACACTGAAGCAGATTCCATCCGAGAGGTAGTTGTGACTCCCAATGGAGCTTGGGGTGGAGAAGGAAGGTACTGATCTCTGTTGATGACAGGTTTTATATTTGCTGTAAATGAGCTCCTGTTAGGAGTATTATTGCTATCAATTATTGGTGTGTCCAAGTTAAGCCTCGTTTCCTCACACTTGTCACACAAAACTGTTAATCTGTGCTGACCTCCCCATTAGCAGATTCAGTATCTGCATTCTCATAGTCAAAACATTCAGCTAAAGCCAGAAAAAAACCCCCATCAGGTCAGATTAAGTATTTTGTAAAGATATAGAATAATTCACTGAAAGCTAAGCTGTGCATGTCTAAAAGTTGATTGCAGAGTGTTCTTTGAGTACTCTAAGTGGAAATTCTTGCAGGTAGGTATTTCCTGCTATAGATAAAAGAGTCTTCTTTAAAAGAGTCAGAATTTAAAACTAGCTTTAAGAGGGTTTTTTTTTTACTTTTCTTGTACAGTTTAGGATGTGGCATAGGATAYGGCTATTTGCACAGAATTCCAACACAGTCCATGACATCAAAGAAAAAGCCAGAAAGCATATCACCTTCACCCTCGCCAGAAGTTGGAACTCCTGTGCCATCCACTAATGGTTACACAGAGGTAGGAAAGAAATAAATTCCAATCTCTGCCATGTTCTCTGGAGCTTCAAAATTTTCTGCTTTTTGAGACATTGGTAATACAGAATGTTTTCATTCAGTATTCAATTTTGCTTGAATGAATGGAGTTGGGTGAAGGAAAATGAGAGCTGATGCTGTTGAGCAGGTGTCAGATCACCAGTGCTGGCTGATACAATGTGCCAGTCAGTGAGGATCATGTTAGAACATCTACCTCACTAGAAGAAAGACACACTGCCAAGAACCAAGAACAGACTGGCTTTAAAAGATTGAACTGGAACATGTCCTAACTGGTGTTGGACTTTCAGTTTCAGCATCACAGCTTCTCTCTGGTGTATGTGGAGACAGGCAGGATGATTTCATGGCATGGCTGGCTTCAAGCTTTCAATGTAAAAAGATGTTTTTCCCTCCTCACTGTGTTATTCCAGACTCCATTATTGGCACCTACCTCTCAGAATGACAGCTCTGAAACAGTTATGAACTTAGATCATCCCACAGAGCAAGACATGAGTGGTTATTCACCAGAAAGCTCCCTTTCTCCTCCTCCCCCTCTCCAGAGAGTTATGGATCCAGGTATGTTCTCTTAGTTACTTTTTTCACTAATTCTTTAGAGGACATCTAAATAAACTAAATACTTTTGAGGACATCTAAATAAACTAAATACTTTCAAGGACATCTAAATAAACTAATATGATCTTAAACAAGCTGGAGATTCAAATGCAGAACTGTGAGCACTGGTGGTGATTTTCTGCAAAATTTTTGACTTCCCTGGATTTCAGGGATGTACAATTTGGGTACCATATAAGTTAAATTTATTTGCATTTAGTGGGGAGSGGTCTTTACTGACTTCAGTCTGGAAATAACATGTCCTTTTGAATCTAGAATTTTGTGTTGTGTCTAACTAATACTTGCTTTCTCATTCAGGATTTCTGGATATGTCTGGAATTTCAGTTTCTGAGCTCACAAGCTTAACAGAAGTGTCCAACCTCCCCCCATCTGCCTCCTTCAACATGCCAGCAGCAGATGTTTCCGCAGGCCCTGAAACATTCATGTCAAATAGCGAAGCCTCTGCTTATTTTGGTAAGTGCATTCAAGATTTCCTTTAGCCCCTCTGACCTTATTTCTGTAATGCCACCAACTCATGCTTGCTTAACATTATCACACTTTTTGGAAATAGGCAAATTTTAATAAAAATCAGAAAGAATGGCAAAAACGAGATGGAAAAAGTAGCAGGAATCAGRTTTAGAAGTGGAAAAATCTAATTCTTAGAGATCCACATTCTATTTCTTTTAAATAAAATGCTGATTGATCCAGGTTAAACTGATCCTAAAAGTAGCTATTTCTAAAGTCAGTGCAAATGTGTATTTGTACCTCAGGCTTGTCCTCAGAGTTGTAAAGTGAAAACGAAGTTGCAGTCATCTTAACAGTGAATTTTTGTGGTGGGCTGACCCTGGCTGGACRCCAGATGCTCTGCAAGTCACTGTCACTCCCATCCTCAGCTGGGCAGGAAAGAGAAAATCCAACAAAGGCTCATGGGTTGAGATAGGAGCAGGGAGAGATCCTTCCCCAGTTACTGTCACAGGCAGAAAAAACTCAACTTGGGGAAATTTTATTACCACACTAGAGCAGGATAATAAGAAATAATCTGAAATCTTAAAAACACCTTCTGCTCCACCCCTCCCTTCTTCTTCCTGGGCTCAACTTTACTCACAATTTTTCTATCTCCTGCCAGAGACACAGGGGTACTGGGAATGGGGGCTGCAGTCCATTCATGCCACATCTCTGTCTCAGGAGGGGGATTCTTCACACTTCCCCCTGCTCTAGCATGGGGGCTGCAGTTCTACATGAACTGCTCCACAGTGGGTCCTTTCCATCAGGTCACTCCTTCAGGAACAGACTGGGTTCTCCATAGGGACACAGGTCCTACCAGGGGCCTGCTCCAGAACAGGCTTCCCATGAGGTCACAGCCTCCTCTGGATATCCCTGTGCTCCAGCATGGGTGTTTTCATGGATCTCTGCTGCTTCTTCAYRGGCTGMAGGGGCACAGCTGCCTCACTATGAGCACCACAGGGCTACAGGGGAATCTCTCCTCTGATGTCTGGGGTGCTTCCTGCCCCTCCTCCTGCACTGATGTTGGGCTAGGCAGGATTGTTCCTTTGCATATCCTCATTCCTCCCTCTGGCTGCTGTTTTGCAGTCCAATTTTCCCCCCCATCTTAAATACATTAACCCAGAGGTGTTGTCACAGTGATGGGCTCAGCCACAGTGCTCCCTGCCACTGGCTCCATAGGACACGGGGGAAGCTTCTGGCAGCTTCTCCCTGCAGCCACCCCTGTAGCCCCACACTACCAAAACCTGGTCATGCAAACCCATTACACTCTTCTATTTAAAAAAGGTGAAAAATACCTACACATGATGTACACCTTTGCCTTCTAAAACATGAGGTGACTGTAAAGATGCAACACAAAATAACAAAAAGCATAAGAACACAGCAGAATAAAGGGTTTGTGATCTTTGAAAAACCTTTATGCACCATCAGATTTTCTGGATTTGGGGAGAACTGAGTGAAGAGCCCAGGTATTTGTGAGTCTGTTAATGTCCTGTATGAGGAGTCTCAATCATGCTGAGTTTTCTAGATTCAGGGTAACCAGAGGCATGGTTAGTTAGCCTCTATGTTTTGTTTTCTTACAAACTATTTCCATTTCCAGAAAATGCTACAGCTTTGGACCCTGAAGGTGTAACCCTGTATCCTGAAGGATCAAGCACRCAGCCCACATTGGATGCCCTCCTGCCTTCAATTCCATCTTTACCTTCTCTTGATCTTCCTCACGACATTTCTTCAAAAACAACACTAGGAACTGATGCTGATAACCAGGAATCCAAGGTGCTTGTGAACAGCAYTGAGAGCTCATTAACCACTGCTCCAGACACACCAGAGGATGAAGCAGCAAGTGAACAGAAAGGAGAAGCAGCTGCACAGGATCCTGAGTGAAATGGACCCTGCTGGTGTTTACAGACAGCTGAATGCTGCAGTGCTACAACTTGGAATAGTTTCCTGATYTTGAAAGACTTACAGTTACTCTATTTTGTTAGTGTAGACAATACTAGAAGAGAAATCACATGAAGTACATATACTGTTGTCTTCTCCAATCACTGTTTAATGGATTGGTCTATACTCAGAATTTGAATGCTGTCCAAAATCACCAGATCAATAGAGAAATTGATGCAGAAACAAGTTGGACACTGACAAAATGTCAAGTTCCGGAATTCACATTTGCCTACAAGTGCTCCTGAATGTACTTATGAAGGCACTGTGCCTGAACAGTGACACTTAGTGATGATTTTTATCAGTATGTTTGATGACATTAAAAATATTTATAGTTTTGATTTGTTAGAAAGCTTTTCTAATGGTACACCTTGATTAGTTCTCGTGACTTGCAAGGCATTTCTTACACTAAGATACTTTTACTCCTATTTACTATTGTACTCTTACAAGACTTTTATTTTTCTTGGTTTAAGTCCCTTCTCTGCAGCAGTTCTTTATGTACCTCCTTTATACCTACTTGCAGGAATGAAATACAATGGGGTTTGAAGCTGCAGCCCCAAATGGGACAAAGCCATGGTGGTGGATCTTGTTATTCACTTCTGCTCTTCCCTGGACCAGATGGTGGCCTTGCAGTTAAATAAACATAATAAACAGTTAAATAATAAAATTGAGGAGGTAGGGAATGTCAGTGGTTACTTGAAACAAGTGAAGATGATTTTAAAGTAGGGTGATGAACCTTTTTGGTGCAGATTGAAGGTCTTGGCTTCTGTATTGACTGAGAAATAGCTTTTCTTTGTTTGTGCTTTCCTATTTACTCATTTCTATTTTTATACAAATCGTAAATTTAAGACATGGGGCTCTTGTGCAGCACCAGCAATTGCTTTTTTGTAGCTTTTTTGTTTGCACTTGTCTCCAAATCGCTTCTGAATGTAACGGCAAACATGACATAAACAATGAAAGACGGGTGGTTTTATAACCCTCAGGGCAGTGATGTATCATGGAATGTCAAAGCTGCTGATAGCAAATAATACAGTTACTGTGGTGAAAATCCTTTCTAAATTAAGAGGATGGCATACAAGACTGTGTTGTGTTTAGGCTATAAACTAAAGTACACATACTTAGCACACTATTGCCTGATTCCCTTTTCCCTGCCCTGTCTCCTGCTCTGTTTCTGCACTGCAGATCAGTGACTGACAGCTGACTGGACTGAAATTTGGTACTGATGCAGGGGAGTCCTACAGATCTGCCTGTGACAGCTCAGCTTCAGCCAAAGGATGCAGGCAAGTCACAGCACATGAGGGCTTCACATGAGTCCACCCTGACATGAAATCTGTCCTTGATAGTTCTGCATCTCTGGTGTTAGTCTGAAATACTGCAAGTACAGTAGTTCTGAACAGGATTGTCACAATAGCTGTTGCTCTAAAGAATGTATTGAGCTCTAAGTGCAGGCAGTAGAATTGACAGTGGATTCTAGTCTGCTAAATGGTCTGTTAATTGTGAGCCAATTTTATTTTCTATATTACTAAATTAAATTCCCTGTTCTCTTCCCCCAGCTGACTGTTACAAGGGTGAACAGCCAAACACTAAAAATAAATGTAGTTTAAACTATTCCTAAGTTTGTTTGATCTTGGAGCCTGATGCCTGAAGACATCTARGTGGTGTTTTATTGATGTTGTTTATTTAGGACTGTTTCTACTCTAGCTCACAAATGGCTGTAAGAGSGTAATGTCTCATTTAAGTCACCATAAACACGTTTTAGAAATCTAAGAGCAGGGAGTGTCAAAACTCATCCTAAATTTCAAATGTCACCATAATAAATGGCTTAAACTTACTTCAGCCTGTGTCCAGCCTCTGTGTGTCRTGTTAACTTGCTCTGGGAAGGGGTTTGGAAAACCAAGTAGTTAAACCTTGAGCACCAGGATGTTGTGTTCTAACCTGAAACCTGATCATTCAAATGCTAAATGAGGTGAAGAGTTGGGCCTCCTCATCAAATTTCTTTTCTCTTGCCAATTTGGATTCTCTCAGCTGCAGTCCAAAAAGTAGAAAGTGCACTTGTTGGGTGCAAAGTGAGAAAACTGATAGGAATTTTGGTTTCAAAATAAAACCTAAAAAGAATGGGAGAAACACCTGAGGGTGGCTGATCCAGAGCCAAAACCAAACCGCCATTCAGCCTGGTGCTGTCCCAAGCACCTGYTCCCAGGTAAGCAGGAGCTGGATGTGACCTTTCTCTGCTCTCTATAAACTTTGAGGACATCTCTAAACCCAACAGCAGCAGCTCTTCTGCAGACAAGAAGGATTATCTGGGCAGATCAGGAGAAGGGTAAAACAAAGGGAGCAGGAGGAGGAGGTCGCCTCGGACCTTACAGCACCAGGGTGGTTTGTATGGCCAGACACAACAGGATGAGCTTTCAGGTCTGAGCTGCTCCCTCATATTAACAGTTGAGCCTGAGGACACGGGTCTGGCAGACGTAAAATCCACAGAGGCTCCCAGAAGATCAAGTATTAGAGAGAGGATTAGGCAAAGCCCATCTCCACTGAGCTGTGCTCCTGCCACTGCCACAGCACCCAGGGCTGATGGGGGCTGAGCCAGGAGGAGCCCACAGAGCCATGGCACCTCCTCCCACCTGGATACTCCAAACTGCTCAACAAAGGCCACAGAAACCTGGCCAAGCCCTGCCCYAAGCAAGGCTAACTTAATTCATTGGAACTTTCCATACAGCATAACCCTGTACAAGGAATCATTATAAACCTCCAAGATCATAATAAGGAAATATCTCATCCCAGAGATAAACATGCAAATCTAATTATTAACAGCAATATGGATGCTGAACTTGAATGAATGAATGGATATATTTACTGTCTTTAAGTTGAACACCTACTGGTAAGAACTATTAAAACACCAAATTCAGGCAATGATGGCTTAATTTTCCCTCTTAAACTTTCACAGCAGGCTTGACAATCTACTGAGCCTCCTGCTGTACTGCTCTAGGCTCTGTGCAGAGGCTGCTCATCCACAGTGCCACATTTGGCTGAACTTCTCTGAGCTGTAAATCAAAAATTCTGCAGGAAAATGGATCTGTGCAACACTGAGCAGAGATCACACCACTCACATGTACTGGTGGGGTCATGCACTTCCACATGCATTCGCCATCTTCCCCCAAAACTGGGCAAGTATTTTCATCTTCAAGCAGTCACACAAGAACAGGTTTTTAAAAGGAAGCTGCTACAGGTTACTGATTGCATTGATTTGACTGTGTTAATATGTTCCATTTCCTGGGCAGTGCCACTGCTGCCCACACAGCCTCCTCCTTGCCTGTTGCCTTAAGCAAAAACTAATTGCCATTGCTTCTGCTGTAACAGAATTCCAACTGTTTGCTTTAAGTTACATTTCTAAGCTCCAAAAAGTAATTGAGCATTCAGATTCCCCTTAAAAAGATGGTTGGAATARTATCACAATATCCTCAGAGAGATGGGGCACCTCGCACCCAGTCTCTAATCAGCACCTCTGCTCTGCATGATGTTTGCACAGCTCTGCACAGAAAAACCACCACCACAGCACAGGAAGCTATTTCAATCAACCACTTTCTTGATATCAAAGTGTATGTGTGCTCTGTTACCCAGATGGGAGGTGACTCCACCTGGCTCTGTTCAGGAGCCAGCAGCACATCGACAGTGTAAGATCATGTGCTTAAAGATTGACTCCAAATGTCAAGTTCAACAAATTTTTAGGGATAAAGTGARAAACAAACAAGATGTCTGTGAAAGGAAAAATAATACCATGGTATAATGTCTCCATGTCAGTCACTGCCCTGCCAGTCCCTGGCTGTCCCTCTCCTAGAGAATACATGGATAATCCAACTAATAAACCCCATGACCAAGAGGTAGAAGTACATTAAGGTCCCTTCCAACCCAAAACTTTTTTTGATTCTATAGAAAGGCTCATCCAGTTCCAACCCCCTGCCATGGGCAAGGACACCTTCCACTGGACCAGGCTGCTCAGAGCCCCATCCAGCCTGGCCTTGAACACTTCCAGGGATGGGGAATCCAMCACCTCTCTGCCTAAGGCTTGTTTTGAATATTTTTTCTTAAAGTTGCTGCTAAATCCTTCAAGCAGTTCTTCTCATCCTAAAATGATACTTGCACTTCAGCTACAAGTACTGAGCGCCAAGCTCTTCTGTCTTCAGCCCCACCCCACCTGAAGAGAATAAAAGATTGCCTGTAATAAACAATTTTAATGCTTTTCCCAGAGACAGGCTACACTGCTGAAGCTCTAAAGTTACAACTCCTTCCTATTACAAACTTGGAAATTAAATAACTTCTACAAATCTGCAGTTTTTTATATGATTCTGGCAAACAAACATTCTATTCACTATGTCCCTGAGAGCTGTGACTCTCGTATCAACGTTCCTGCTCATGCCTTCAGGACTCCTAAAGACAGCACAACTCCAGAAAAGGTGACAGAAATGAAAATGTAGCGGTAAAAAAAAAAAAACCAAAAAAAAACCAAACTCCTCTCACTTTACACTCCATCTATGTCAGAGCTGGGAATGTCTGGGAAGACATTTGGGCACTAAAGTACTGTGCCCCCTGCGAGAGCGGCTCAGCTGACAATTCCCACAGCAAAAGCTGTGAGTATTCTGTCCTGGCATTTTCAGCATCAGCATCAYTCACGTGTTCCTTACGACCTTTCCACACCCAGACAGCTCAGCAGCAACTGGCACAAGTCACGGATCAGCACAAAATACCTCCATGGTACAAAAGCAGCACTGCCCACATGAACAGCATTACTTGAGCAGGACTTAGAGCTCACATCTGAAGGTCTGCTCACCTCAGAAATTCTTACATTCAACCATATTACAAGATTATCTTCACAGSATTTTGCTAAGGCACTGCCATTTCTTTAGCCATTCCATTACTTGAGGTTTCAAAGCATTTGTCACACTCAATAGCAACTATCCAAGCTCCAAAATAGCACAATTGATCTAGTACACAAAACAACTTGAAAATATTTAACTAAAGCCTTTTATTCTATACAACTGTGAAACATCATTTACCCTTCTGGCATTGCAGACTCTTCCATTAATCTTTCCTGTTACTGTGTTTTGGGATGGTTAGAAAGAAAAAAAATAGAAGGAAAATTACAACCTTGGCTGATTTCAAACAAAAAAGTACTGTGAGCAACTTCAATGTATACAATAGGACAGGAAGACAACCAGGAAACAAAACATAACCCAAACAGTGCCTACTGGAACAGACATAGATCCTTGCTATTAATAAATACAAGTCAGGACAAGTTACCAATAAAAGTTACAGTTCTGTTTAACCATTTAATTCACAAATAGCACTAAAAATGTGCAGTTAAAGCACAAGTGTGTCAAACTAAGCATACACAAAAATGGGGATAAAAAACTGAAACTGACTCTCAAAAGACAAGGAAAAATATATGCTAGCTTAGTTGGAACCACGGTTTTGCCTAAGCAATGAGCTTGTTTTACTGGGTTAAAAGTGCAGAAGGGAATGACTATTTTGACTATTTGACTATATTTTGACTGTTTTTTCAAATAAAACATGATGAAAAATATTTTACTTTTTGTCTGACTGATACAATCCCAGTAATATAATTTATTGGGACTTTCTTTAGGCCTCAACCTAAATCTTGATCACAAGATACAGGAAGGGCAAAAGCATGTGTCTCCTGAAGAAACTCCAATAATATACTGCCCCTTGAAGGCACTTGTGCTTCTGCTTCAGACAAGAGTCATTTCTACACCACTTTTCTACGAGGATTTGTAATTTGCTCTGGCTACAAATGGTTTTCTGGGATATCCCCACATTTTCTCACAAAAAGCTGAAAGGCCCTTACCCTCCCTCCCCCCAATAAGTTAAACTTCTATAAAAGATTACCATGAGCCTATGACAGTCACAGATTTTTAGAAATAGTAGTGAAAACAAGACCTGCATAAATCTCTACCAAAAGAACAGATGCGTATAAAACCTCGGGAAAGAATAATCAGTATTTTTATCTCATGATTATGAAATCTGCTGAGAAGTTTCTAAAGTTTAACATTAAACATATGAAGTTATATTCAGAATGGTCTGAAGTTTTAACAAAATGTCACATACTTTTGGAGCACAGTTACCAAAAATTAGACTAGTGTGTCTTTAGAACACCTAGGACACAGTGCAGGAAATAGTTATATATATTTAGAAAAAAAAAATCTCTAAGTTGCTGCAAAGCATTTTAACTCTATTATGATGCACAGCATCACTGGACTCAACCTGCTTTGATATTTTTCTAGTGTTCTTACCTTGCATATCAACAGTTCTCTAAAGCAATTAAAGCAATCCTCATGTTAACCCTTGGTTTGCAATTAAATGGGCYGATCCATTCAAGTACGCAATACCTATTTGCTGGGTATTTTATCTTTTCCAAGTTTCTTTAAGTGGCACAAATGCTTAAGTAACCTGTGAGAAATCATTGCTGGRRCTTTATGAATGGAATGTACTAGAAATACCTTGTGTGCAGTTCTTAATTACATTGTGAAGAGTGACTWATACGGCCAAACCAGTTTGATACCRAGCATGAGCAGATGAGGGGATTACATTCTGGAAAAAACAAAAGCAAAAAGGAGGAAGCAAAAGTCTGCACTGSGTTATCATCCGCTCTCTGTACACCTCACACAACACGAACCACTCAGGGACTTCCCATCTCATTGACTGAGACTAGGACAGACTTTAGTTTAAGCCATATAGATTTTTTTTTCCTCTATATTACAGCTCTATTAGTCACTTCAATTTAATGTTTACTTCCCGTCCATACTGAGTCATCAGAAGTCTCATCTACCT